CATTCTCTTGATGAATAGAGGGATTTGTTCTAATAGTGTTTGTAAATAGGATATCATGTCTGCATCTTGTACAGCAAATAACCACCAGGAAAAGAGTATGCAATGTGTTAATTATTGAAACTATCCTATCAATTTGATTTGAAACTGTCTCATTGCTATTTGTTTCTCAATAAAATTATGGAAAAAAATAAAATATACATAAGTTTTTTTAAAATAATAATAATAATAAAACAAATCTGGGTGGAAGCAACCCAGTAGTTAAAGCCAAGACACCAAGCCCTCCTTCCCCATGCTGAGTCCAGCTCTGTCATTAGCAAGTGAAATGGTCTCTTGATTAGTCCATGGACACCTTCTGGTAGCAAGAGATAATAGCCAACTTCCTTATCCTTCGTGGGTATGACATGAACTCAGCACTGTCTGGGAGGCTTCAAGAAGCGTGGGTCAGCTCCAGGGAGCAAGCAAGCATCCTCATACTTCCCACCCTGCCTCCACCCTGTCCTTCAGCAGCACTGCGCATCCACCTATGTTCCAACAAATACATCGAAGGCTCCCGCTGGGTCGCCCAGCCTCCAGGCTCTTCTGCTTCTCTTGACTTTATTTGCCTACCTCTCCCCTGATAGCTTCTCATTAATGTTTATACATCTGCCTTGAGGTCCAGAAATTTCCATTCTTTGCACACACAAAAGAAAGAATTTAGTAGACACAGGGCCTGGGGATATAGATAGCTCAACGGCAGTGTGTGCCTTACAAGCACAAGGTCCTCAGTTTGATTCCCAACACACACACACACACACACACACACACACACACACACACAAAGAATTTAGTAGACACAGCAGACCTCACCTGAAGCCATCCAGTCCCCCAAAAAGGATAGACTGTTGTAGGATTTATTAGGAAAATCAAGAGGACAACCAAGTCCACAGTCCTGAAATTCTATCATTTCCAGCCAGAGGAAATGTGGGTGCAAACTAGGAAGCAATTTAAGGCAACACTACTATCAGGAGAAGGCAAGAGGAAGAAGGGAAGTAAAGGAGGGTTCACAGTCAGTTCTCAAGGAGTCTATAAGAGGAAAATGCTGGCTTTTCTTCCCACCTCTACCAACCTAATCTACTTAAAGATCTTAGCCATCTACTCACCCATACACAATACACAACAACAAGACCATGACAAAGCACATTGTGTCAAGAGTCATTAGCCAAACTCTTAGTCCTGTGGGCCACCATCATGTTGGGTGACCTTCACTGACCTTGAATCTGTGGCTTTCAGTTCTACTCAAGGTCTTTCTGCCACATTCTTAGCTGTAAGTTTACTGACTTTGTACTCCTTCCAACTTTTGCATACATTTTTTTTTTTTTTTTTTT